TCCCAGATCTTTCCTTTAGATCCTACACTCAATCAGTTCATGATTATATTGTCCCTATTTGCAAGCACCAGCACAAGGGGAGCATTAGAGTGGTTGATTTCTCCCGCTCTCTTTGTGAAATTTTCACCAGCATAATCTAGGAACCCCTTACATTGCTTGGACAGCGCTGTGTCTTCTTACCATCAGATAATTGCATAGTTGAAATTCCCCATGAGGTTCAGGTCTTGAGATCAAGAGACTTCTACTAGTCATGTACAAAAAGCCTCATCCAATCCCTCCTCTTGGTCAGGTGGTTTGCGATGGATCTGCACCACAACACTGCACTGTTGCTTTACCTCTGATCTCAGTTTGTAAAGCCTCAGCAGACCAGTTCACAGTGAAGGACCTCATTTACTCACCCTCTTATATTTCCCTACCTATCCTTCCTAAAAGTCTTGGTAAGTTTATTTTGTTCATGATAAAAGATTTTTTTTTTCTTTTTCTTCCATGTCCTGTAAAACTAATTATGTTTTGAAGCACAGATTCTGACAGAAACTTAATGAAAGGGAACATAAAAAATTAAGTTAATTATCTTGTTAGTTCTTGATGAATTACTGTCCTGTTATTCATGCAAATAATGTACCAATAGTTACTAAATCTTGTAAATTTCCTCATCTCATTGTCTGATATCTGTTGACAATTCTGAGACAATAATCAGTTATTAGGACTGACCTCTATACAAGCAAAATGGTAGAGTTTAGCAAAATTATCTCAAACACAAGTATTACTTTGGATTATTCAGATTTCTCAGAACTTCCTTTTCTCCTTTGTGTTTTCTCTCCTTGTAGACCACAGTACTACAATACGTAATTCTAATAGTTTGTGCTCATATTCTATTACCACAATTGTAACTCATTTACTGAATCTCCCTAAGCAATGGAAGAGCAGAATATAACCATGGAAACACTGTAGACCTCCCTCAGATATGCTTAAAAGCAGTATATATTTCCATGCTCATTTAGCTTTTCTTAGTATTCCCTTGTGTCATTTTAGTTCTTTGCAGCTTTATTTATATTACAGTACAAGTAGAGAGAATTGTTAATGGGTAAAAAGGTTTCAGATAGAATATTTGTCATTTGTGATGGAAGACTGAGGAATTAGATAATGAAAAATGCTACTTATACATTACTTTTTCATTATATAATTTAAAAATTAGCTATCTGATTTCATTATCATAAAATAATCTTCAAGTTTTGAGTCTGTGTGACAAAGCTTTAAACTTCAGAAAGAATAAAAACACTGGATTGTGCTGCTGTCTTTAAATCTGATTTTCTTCAGTCTGTCACTGATAAGGCTGATAGATTTGAATCTCAATGATATTTGATTCTCATTAGTTTTCTATAATATTATACTTGCTTCCTGGTAAGTTACTGCTATTTTGTTGTTGTTGTTTGTTGTTGTTGTTGTTGTTTTCCTACTGATGAAAGACTCAGTCTTTCACTTTTACTTCTGTTAGACATTATTGAATTTTACTGAAGATAATTCTTGCTATTGTATTGAAGATAATTCTCTGGAATTTCTAAGGCATTGTACAAATACTAACTAGCATATCCTCAAGTCAAATAATTCAATGGTATTATCCCTATAGTTCAAGACAACAGATTAAGAAAGAAGTGTTTCAGTTCAAGTTTGGACTCATCTTTCAAGTCCTAATAAAAACAATATATCTTTGTCCCTGCTCAGCTTTAAAAATAGCTGAATATGGATCTTGAATATCAGTATTCAAGCCAGTAAATCCCAAGAAATGGGCAACACTTATTCCTGCATAGGCTATCACCACAATCAGTTTAACAGGCAGATTCCACATGCCTTTTTAACTTAAATTTATTGATCTTATTACTATTGGTTTTGCAGACTAGCTTAATCTAGTTTAATGTTCTCCTTTGTCACCTTTGTGATTTAATCAGAAAATTCAGTCATTTTGAAGCTCTTCCTTATCTTACTGTAGATTAGTTTTCTACAATAGAAGTACAGTTCTTTTTGTTTTCTTACTGTGCTGGGTCTTTCTTTTTGCACGCTTAGCATTTTTATCAGTTTGGCCTGCCTTGCCACTTGCATTATTCTCCTAGAAAAAGTTCAGATATTAGGTGCAAATTTCCAGGCAGATTTTTGCATAAAAACTCAGTAAGTGCACAAAACCTTGACTTTTTTTTTTTTTTTTTTTTAACCCTACTACAAGCCCCGAACCTCTAAGGTCATCATATTCAGCAAATAGATATTATGTATCACATTTCATTTCTACAAATGTTGTTACATTTTTTCCTAGTGAGCAAATCAACATAAATTTGAGACATATTTTACCAATCATTTTCTTTTATTGCAGAAGACATTATGTTTATACATGAAAGGCCTTGTATCAACTGGGCCCATGACGGTTATCTTAGATAGATGTAAAAATCATTGCAACTATTTTAAGTACATATGTATAAATATTTTTTCCACTGTCTGCAAGGGAGAAGTGAAAAATGAAAAAAAAAAAATTCAGCTGAAGATCAAGGCCTTGACCAGAAGAGGGGGGTAAGGAAGAAGGAAAAAATGACACATATAACTTCAGATCTAAATACACTGTTTCTGAGAACAGTGAATGAAGTGGGGGGGGGAATTTATATGGACTGTACGGAAAAGGCTCTTAAGAAGAAGAAGGAATTAATATTTTGGGAGGCAGGCTGACAGGCACTACTAAAATAGATTTATTAAGAGAAATTTCAAACTTGACTTCAGATCCTGTTTGACTTGTGCAGAAAAGATGAGGTTTACGATGGTACTGGTTACATAGTATTTAAAAGAGACAGTTGCAATACTTTTAAGGTAAAATGCCATGAAGATATTTCTTTTTCATAATGTTATCTTTTATCATAGATCTGAATAGTGTTCAACAGTGCTTTTTAATAAGTGAGGTACTAACTGTAGTTAGTTACAAACTTGTGGGACTCTTGAGCAGTTTAAAGCTTTAGAATAAATATTTTAAAAGAATTTCTCAGGTAATTATAAGTAGCAGTTTTCTTTTTAAAACATAACAACTATGTATTGAAGTGTACTATAATTCTTAAAATTTTGATGGCAAATCTTTGGAATTTACAACTTCGGTGAAAGGATGTTTGTGGTCTTTTTGGTTTCAAGATGAAAATTACAAGATCCATTATATAAGGGATTTAACATGATGCCATATCCCATCAACGTATTTTAGCAAATTTTGTTTTGATAGTTTCACAAATCTGATGTAACATTGAAGATCTTACTACAAAATAAATAAATAAATAAATAAATAAATAAATAAATAAATAAATGTTTTCTGTCAAAAATCAGCAACATGGTGAAAGAGATATAAGATAAAAGCAATATATAGCTGTTAGTTTTTTAAAAAATGACAAAAGAAAAAAAAAGAGTTTCAAGACTGTCTTTTTAACAGAAAAATGGGTAGTTTGCAAATATTGTATAGGCAAAAATCATTTATCTATAAAAGAGTGTTATAACACATATACCATAACTTCTGCATGTGCCTCTGTACAACACTGAAGAAACGTAGAATACATTGATTAAAAAAAATGTGGACTTGATATTGTCTACAAGACATGGTGTTCTTTTCTGGAAATAAATTCAACTTCCAAGTTACTGTTAACTGGCATGCAGCTCTTTGCTGACTCTTTCACAAATCCTGTGAAACAGATGAAAAGAAGAAAAAAAAGGTGCAAGTAACCATGCAAACTTAAAGAGGTGGAAGTTCCTTTTTTGCTAGTTTAGGGCAATATAATAGACTCCTTGTCCACACTGAAAAGGAATTATTTATCCAGAGAATTCTGATGTTTTTTCATACAACTTTCCTGAGGATCAAGAACTTTAAGAAACATCATTTCTAATAGTTCTTTATGCTTTCAATTCAAAGGATTATGGTTCATGTAATACACTACATGGTCAATATCAGGCCTATGCAAAGTAGTATTTCTGCTGTTTCTTTTGGTCTGAAGCCATTTTCAATCCTATCCTGTTCAATGTCAACTTAGGTGAAGTAATTCATATCTTAGCATAGAAGGGAAAAAAAAAAAAAGAGTATGAGCAATGCTGTCAGGTGTTGTATGAGTTGGCTTTAACAGACAGAAAGGTGGGAGAGGGAAAACAAACAAACAACCAAACCAAACCAAACCAAACAAACAAAAACCCTTCCTCTCACTACTGTTTATTTATTTATTTATTTTGAGAAACCAGATTGTGAAATTTTATTTTTAAATAGGCAACTTGCAGAAAGTAACAGAAATCTTAAAAAACAAGCAAACAAACAAAAAACAATAAAATTAGCTTTTTTAAAGGTTAATTATTATATTATCCTTTCCTATTTAAATAAATAATAATAACCCAAAATCCCTCTAAAGGAAAAAGCCAAAATAGAAAACCAGAAGAACTCTAACAGTAAGTATTCTTTTATTGTAAAGTACCTGGATTTGGGAGAGATAACAGCAATCTTGAACTCTCTTAAGTTCCAGAAATAAAATACTTCAGGAAATTGCTTTTGAATTGCTATGAGAGGTGATATAAATTAAACAATTTCTTCAGCAATGGCACTTTGAGTATGTGAAATGGCATGTGTAACAGGTACTTGCCTGATGGCATTGTGCTAAATTAACTGGTCCAATTAACAGCATGGGGCACTTTTACGATTAATTGAAAATCATTAGTTTATTTAATGTGTTGGTTTTAAGTATTTGAAAGTGTATGCTGTAGTAATGTTAGATTTCTGTAAGTGATACTGTTATTAAGTGGTAATAAGCTTTTTTTTTTTTTTTTTTTTTTTTTTTTTTTTTTTGTATGAAGGTAAGATGTGACATGGGGACTGTGCTTTTAATTGTGAAACTCCCTAGAGAGTCTATACAGATCCTATGTTTTGCACAGCTTTTGTAACAGGTTACACAGTCAAACAAATCTCTCTTAAAGCTTTTGCATGGAATGATCAATGAATACCACAGAAGTATAGTCAGGAAAGGTACAAAATTTATATTTACACATGTATGGGAAGAAGCACAAACAAACATGTGACAATACAGTCATTAAGGTTGCAAATATACCAGAAAAGGTATATACATAAATGTGACATTCCTTCATTCAATGCAGTAATCATATACACATAGTACACAGACAGAAAAAAAAAAAAAAAACACTATAATATCAACAGGCACTTGAAATTTCAAGATTTTTTAAGATATGAAGATACAAATATGAAGACAGAGTAATGTAAGTTGGTCTGGTCAGTTTTGGAATGTGCCCCACTATTTAATTGTAGGAGGGATTACACTAAGAGCATCTATTTAATTTCTACATAAATTTGAATTTTATCAAAAAAAAAAACAAAACACCTTTCTTCTTCCTCTAGCCTTGCATTTCTGGCATTTCTGTGTCTGAGCAGCAGCAATTTATACAGCTACTCAGCTTAGGAAACCGACTTCTCTCCAACAATCTTGGTACAAGACCAGTCCTCTCAACAGCAGCCCATACTTATATTGGAGTGAACCAAGTAAGGAAGTTCAGAATGAAATGTAATGCAGCCTAACCAGAATGCTAAATGTAATTACATGATAATAATGATCCCTGTAATTTCAAACAGATTAAAAACCGTGAAAGTATGCAACTATTTATGTCTGAGCTGATGGTAGAACATATTTGTTGTGCTTATGCATTAAATAAGTATGACAAGCCAGCTACAGACGTATGCAGACATATAATGCAAGTGTAATAGCTAGAAATATAAGAAGCGTTAGGCAGCAATAACTCAAATTTACAGCATCATGTGCCTTCAAAGTGTAGTTATAAGCACTAGTAGTGTCCATAATGTTTCTGTGAAAATAATGAGCCCTGTTTTAAACACTGTAATTCAACAAGCCTACTCAAAGGTATTCAGTCTGCAAGAGCCAAAACTAGGAGTCAGGGCATCTTGAATATCAGCTCTGTTTTCAGGCCTGTAGAAAAGCCAATTCACAGAAGAAAACCCATGCAGAAATGAACAGGTGTTCAGATGTTCAGAAATGAACATCTGTTCAAACCTTTCTACAGGTTTATAGAATTCAGAAAAAACAGAACCATTAAACACACAGGGTGGTCTTTTGCACTGACAAGTCTTCTCAGTTAGTTGTTTAGTTTTTCTGGCAATGTACAAGGAGTATGGAGGTGGTTTTGCATAAACAAATGTGGACTTTCAGCCTTACTGTTCTTGAAGGTATGATTTACTTGAACCTAGTTATCCCGAAGTCACATTGGCAAAACATCGAGTGGTTGTCTATCAGGAAGGCCTTTATTAAGGGAGAAACATGTACTTTTGAAAAATGCTAGCCTTAAGGCATTTTTTTATTCAACCCCATTCTGTGCTTCTCCTATGCACCAGTGACTGTATTCCAAATACCTAAATATACACCAGCCTACACAGAAGTTAAGTAGCTATACTGTCTTAAATAAAAGGAAAAAAATGACAACAACAACAAAAAGATCTGAATCTTTGCATAATGATATACAATTCAAATTATTTGTCCATATTTTAGTCTTGTCTTCCACTTTTAAATCTGTTTCTTCCTGTTATATTCCTGTGTATTGCTAAAAGCGCTCTCTTCACTGGAAATATTTCAACTATTTACTAAGAAAATATTGTAATAATAACATAATAAATAAATAAATAATGCTTTCCTATTTGTGTTTTCAAACACCTAAGAGAACTGATTTTTTTCTACAGGCGAAAAATATTGAGGAAGCTAAAACAGATGAAAAAAATGTAAACTGTTGGGAAGGGATTTAAGTTAGTGTACATGGTTCCTTTCTTGGTTGAACTATGAAAGAAAGAAGTACTTTTTAATATGACATTTTATGTTCCAAGTTAGCATTGCCATGGATTTCTGAACTCCATGTCACAGAATATGAACTGTAAAATTAAAATAGCTGATAGTTTTTTAATTCATATGATGAACATTTCACACTTTATTATCTTGAAAAATACACCGCAGTGTCTCTGTTTAGCTGAGGGATTGACAAGCACCCTCTAGGTCACTGAATCCAACCCTGATAGTTACCAGCATGAGGAATCTTTTTTTACAAATGGCTTTGCAAAGTGTCTGCTTTACTTGGCACCCAAGGACCACTGCTCTCACTTAAGTTTAAGCACCAAAGGTTTCAGGATTACATTGGGACACAGGAGAAATGCAGCACATCTTAAGGCATTCCCTGGATCACAGTTTCCTGAAATATCAAGGAATGAAGTTAAAAGCATAAAAAACTTATAGATAACTAATTTGCATACACTCTATACTAGTTGTGGTTTCCTTTCAGCAATTTATTAACCCATAGACAAAGATAAATGAAACATTTAGGGTGGTCAGTAATGGGGAGACAGAATATCGGTGTTTAAACTAAATTAAATTAAATTAAATTAAAGCTGACAAATACAGCGAAAATTTAAAGAGAGCTTGGGCTTCCTAGAATGAGCTTCCTAGAATAAAGATATTGGATCATTTGTCACATGCATACATGAAAATATATTTGACACCTTTTTATGAAATTCTTATGAAATCAATAAACTTATGTTACATAAATATGTGAGCTGGGGGTGTTTCAATAAATCCTTTTAGATTTCCATGCTCAGTTCCTTTAGCAGAAAAAACAGTTCTAGAAGTCAGCAAATACTTATAGTTCCTACCACCCACAGTATGTCACTCTGCTTTCATGGAAGTTCTGTGAACAATTCTGTTGGTTTTCATACATTGAACTTAAAATATCATATTGTTGATTTTTACTATTTGAAAAAGTACATATAGTACCATGGTACCAGAGAAGATCAGTATAAATCTTTCATAATTTTAAACTGGATTTTTAAATTCCTCAATCTAGATTTGAGGGAATCTGTAGTTGTGACCAAATAAAGATTTATTTTTATTTTTATTTATTTATGCATTTATATATATATAGACTATGCATTATAGTCTGTGCAAAGAAAGGGGAGTTTTATTTTATTGTTTGTAATTGATGAGAAGCTCCATTGGTATAATTTAATCTTTTTGTCTGGAAAGTAATTTCATCTTTTTTTTTTTTTCCTTTTTGATTCTTCAAGATAAAATAAAAATATCGTCTAAATTTTAGTCAATGAAAATAACACTTTTCATTGTTTTACAGCATTAAAGAACATTGGTGAAGGATTCAAGTTAGCTCACTTGAGCTGAAAAAATATTTTGAAAGAAATACACAGTGATGATAACCAATATTTAAAAACATTGAAATGCTTAACAAAAATCTGTTAATTAAAACCACAAAAAATGCAGCTGAAACCTGAAACCAAGAATTTTGTGAACAGTCTAAGACTACAAATGAGCAGCCAAAAGTTACCAGATCTGTGCAGGCAATAGTAGCCACTATTTTACAGAACTTCAAGTAATTAGAGTAGCCTCTTGGCAGCTGGATTTCACTTCACAGAAGTGATGATGCTGTACATCAGACCTGGCACGCAGTGAGGGAAAGTTCACATGCCTCAGGTGTCCTAGAGATTGTTCATCATTTAGATCACTGGGAGTTGGTTAAATTCACTGCTCAATCACCAAAGACCTTAAAGGAGCTATTAGTTCAAGGAATATTCAAACCCTCTTAAGTCCTTTATGAAAACAAAATCAGTGTGGATTGACAGCTTGGAAGACTTAAAAATTACTATTTATCAAGTACATTTTATAAAGAAATTAGATTTTGGAACAGTCTCCCTCTGCATCCCTCTAAGTAAATGTGATAAACTTTCTTTTATGATGCCCTTGGGAGGAAATACTTCAGTAATGAAAAGTTATGATTTGTATAGTTTATGTCGCCTTAAGGACATGTCCAGTGCTATTAAGATTGCTAGTCCCCTTCTGAAGAGTTTGGATATCGTTATTCTTGATTTATATGTACCACATATTAATGCTGGCTTTGTCTTCTGAGACATTCTTTCATATAGCTGGAGCAACATTATGTACTGCTTCTTCAGGCATTTCCATCAATTAAAAACTTCAGTCAACTCATGCGTGTGAAACAGAGGGAAAAGGTAAGGTAAATGAAGACTGGGCAGCAAATCCCGTGTTAGGATGTTAGCACATTTGATGCGTTTATCAGATTTTGTGTTTCTGCATAACCTTTCTCTTTAACATTCACTGAGGAGTTACAGTTTGTTTTTGTTCTTTCCTATAATATTCTGCTTTATTGTTCCAGTGGGAAAAATCTTTGACTGAATTGTTTATTATAGTAACAGAGAGCCATTAATGAAACTGAATGTCTGTTGACTAATGAGGAATGTGGATTTACTACCTCTAGTTAAGGGGGGAAGAGATCCACTACTCTAAAATTGTGGTTCCCTCCCCATCCTTGCAATTGCAACCCTTGTTCTATGAATCACTAAGCTAGTAAGAGGTTTTTGTCTGGATGTTAACAATATTGCCTTCAACACTAATGATCTGTTTCCACACATAACCTCTTATCTGAACAGAACCTATCAGAATCCACCTTCTGTTTCCAGCTTCCAGATAACCCATCTTCTAGAAACTAACCTTGCCATATTCTGTTCCTGTTTCTGAAAGCACATACATAGATTCTGACAAGTTAGGTGTCATGAGACAGCAGAGTCCCTTCATCACATCTCAAGAAAACGATTAATGTTATACTGCTCTATTTTTACCAGATAATAGATGCACTGGCTGATTTCAGGACTCTTGTTATACCCATATGTGATATTAGCTCTCCTATCTGCTCATATTGCTTTGAAGAAAACCTGTATTGTTTTGTAGCAACTCATCCCTCACATAGCAAAAAAGGAAGCAGCCTCTGTTGCTGCTTTTCATAAGGCTACCACTAGACTATGAACTAGTTAATTTTCTGCAATACCAAACTCCTTCAGTCCTTAGTTGGAACACTGAGTCATGAAAATACTGTAATTTGTTGATGAAGTTTCATGATTTCTGATAATCTGAATTAAAGCTAGGTAGGAGGTTTTCTTCTACTTAATACTCTTTCCACCTTTATAGCATGTGCAGCCTTTTTTTTTCCCATTACAGGTCCCTATTGTGAGGCTCCAAAATATTTGTTCAGTTAAAAAATATTTTTCCCATCATTAGCTTATGATTCATCTTTTTTTTTTTTTTTTTTTTTTTTCCTGCAGTGTTGCAAAAACACTGAGAATTTTCACATAATTTTTGACTTAATAATGCCTAAGCTCAAAACATTCAAAACATTTATTTTCAGACAGAACAATGTTAAGAGTATAGTGTACAATCTGAGGCTGTACATTTGAGAGAACCTTTGAGAGTTTTACACAGAGCAAGATCACATCATCATCCAAGGTTGACACAAACAGTTTTATAACTGTTTTGTAAATATTAGGTTGCATATCAAGAAATTCCTCCTCAGAACAACGTCCTGCACATACCATAAAAGACATTTTTAAATGTAATTATTCCCTGTGATCTCCTATTTTATAAATCAGGGCAATGCTTGTTTTAAAATGCAAGACTAAACAGTGTAACATATTCTTGGATATAAGATCCAAGCTACTCTGGCATTGAATATGAAACATAAAAATAGAAATAGCTCCAAAGAAGACATTCAGTGATCTCTCATGATCTGTCTCTCATATTCATACTTAGATTTTCTCTCTCTTTTAAATGTCTTTTTTTTTTTTTTTTTTTTGGTCTTCAGTAGGAAAGGAATATTTCAGAGGAATTTAACCTGTGGATCTTATAAAACTATATGTTGTTCTAAAAATGCTAAAATTATAGATATAACCTAGATAGATAGATAGATATAAATAGATATAAAATATCAAAGATAATTAGATCCTCTGCTATAACAGCAAATGCTCTGCTGTTAATATTAGTCATCTTTTTAGGGGAAAAATCAAACACCTCTCAGTTATTAGCATTAGTTTCTCCTGCAATACAAATCTTTAGTTTGTGTCATTGGTTATCACTGTAGCCTTACAGTAAAATCAGTAAAGCTTCTGCAACACAGAATTTTTGCATGTAATTAGCAGACAGAATTTAGAACTAAGATATTACGTGGGTCTGGTTAAACTTACATATTTCTGTACTCATGTGACACCAAATTTTATTGTCTACAAATGACTATGGACTTATTTTAGCACCCTCAGATGAAGAAAAAAAAAAAAAAGAAAACCTCAACTCTCAAGAATGTGAAGGAGCTTAAACAGCCTCATTCCTTCCAGCAGCACAATTATTATTCCTGGAAGTGTGAGATAAATTTCTAGATAAACAGATTCCAAATTAAGTACTGTAAGCCCAATGGAAAGTCATTATCATCTGATAATTTTGATAGAATTTGGCTCTTATTCAACTGTTAACCCATTATTTGGTTCATAACTAGAATATATTAAAGAATTATTTCTTCATATAACCACAACATAACAAGTATATTTTTTCTTTGTCTTTCTGATAAATCATCATTTCAATGTCTTTAGTTTTATTTCATCTTACTGTGTTCTCTTTATTTCCATGTCTTCTTTTTATTCGGAGAAATAACTTATATGATCTAAGGTGCAGGATTTAAGGAGCGGTTTCCTGTTATATTTACTAGGTTTGAGCAAATATTCCTAGTGAATAATTCATTTGATACACTTAACCACTAATAACGGTGTGCCCATGATATCTGGTTTTATCCAAATACATACTAGTTTGGATCATAATAATGAAAAGAATCAAATAGAAGAACTCCATGGGATTTTCTTCAGAAACCTTACCAATGAAATTCTAATATGATAAGAGATTCTGTAGGATAATTTTAGAACAATCTTACCATTAATCTCTGTAAATCATATGACATCACTTTGCTTCTTGTTACTTTGTTATCTTTGTATGGAGCAAGAGGAAATGTTCCAATCTGAGACAAGAAAATGACTTGGTAAAGACTTCTTTAACACTGCATTGCTAATGTGTTGTGCTTATTCACAGGGTACACTGTGTAGGAGTAGGAGAAATGGTCCTGTGTATATCCAGGAAAAAATATCTAAGTTCCTTACATGTGTCATTTCTTTAAGATCGATGGGAACTCTGTGGGCAAAGAGACTACATGAGTGGACCCTTAAAGCAGGCTGAGAAGGAGGCTGTGTAGTCATTTGAAATTCAAGCACAGCTTCATCTTGGCCATTAGTCAAGATCAGGCATCTTGGGAGGCTTCCAGTTTCACAAAGTAACCTCTGTGAAAGTCCTTTAAAGCTATTCTGTCTTAGAAGAGATCCAAACAAGTGATGCTTTTATCCATAAATCATCAGAGAATGTGAAGAATGGCAAGCCTAACTTTGTGTTTAACAATAGCCTCTGATCTGAAAAATCATGTTGGGGTGAATTCAGCAAAACGTCTGTTCTGTCTCAGGATGTGGCCCTTTGAAATATCTATTTCAGCATCTGGACAAAAAAAGGATTATTAAAAAAAAAAAAAAACACATACAAAAAAAATAAATATTGATCTATTATAAATAATGAAAAATAACTTTCGTTTGTGTCTCAGTATTCTCTTTAAATTGTTGAAAAATTCTAGTATGCTTTAAATTGTGAACAATTTCCAGTCCAAATGTAAGTTAAGACAGTAGTATGCAATGTTTGTTAGTTTTGTGAAAGACTGGTTAATCCTATGCATTAGTGCTGGATGTAAGTAAATGGGATGAAAGGAATTGCTCCTATGTCTCGTACCTGTCTAATTTACTTAGAGGTCTTCTCTTCAGACAGAGGGAAGGCCTTTCTAGGATCTGCTCTATTTTTTCTTCTGCTTTTGTGGATACTACAGAGAAATGAACAAAGCTTTGACATTTCTCCTTCTCCTCGTTGTGGTCATGCCAGTCTGCTGAGGTTTTTCACAGTGTTACAGAGAAGGACCTGCTGCAATGTACTTTTTCTCCCAGAGTACAGCAGAATTGCCTTTGTCTTGCCTGTGGGCTTCACTGTGAACTGATATCTAACTGTGAATCCTAATTACCATCTCTTCATTAAAAATAGTAAATCAGAATTTTAATTGTGGTATTACCTAAGATGGTAGCACAGAAGAAATGCTGTTGGGTATATAAGCAGAGCTTGAAAATTCAAAGATCTGTCTGAAGAGTGCACATATCATGTGATATGCAGTTCTTCCTGCCATGTGGCTCAGCACACCTATTTTCTATCCATCAAAAGGTTATGTCATTAAAATATAAGGCTGGAGGGACCAGCCTTATATCTGCAAGAATAACCTACATAGCCTAAAACTAGCTTTCTATCCCTGCATGGTGAACTCCTGCTTGACAGTTAGGAAGGAGTGACCCCCAGGTTGTGTGAATTATATTCACACCAGGTTGTGGTGCGTTATATTACAGGGTGGTAGTGATTGGTGTAAACCAGAAATACCTACCCTGAAGCTGCTCTCTACTCTTTCCTAGGGGCAATGTCCTGAGAATTTTCAAGCATTAAAAGCTCAAAAAACACATGAGAATATAGTTCATAAAGGAATAGGCACCTGAACACCTGAATACCCTTCTAATCCAGAAAGTCCATTGAATCGTGTATGAAGTAGTCCTGCTGAGAACCCAGTTTGCATTTAGTGACTTCTATTAATAATTTTATTTATTTATTTATTTCACACTGGGTGGCTGAGGAAACTATAGGCACTTCTCAGTTGTATAAGTTTGAGATATAATATTTTTTCCAGAATCAAGTATATTTGGAAAAAAACAACTTTTAAAAATTTTAATATAGGAAACAAAAAGACTGAAGTACAGCCTCACATTTAAACATATGTCCTAATGAATCTTTTGGAAAGATTTAAAGAACACAAAACTGCCCATTCCCTGCTCTGAAAAATCATTTCCTGGACTTTACTACAGAGAAATTATTTATAACATTGCTCTTGTCTTTTTCTCAGTGACATCTGTGGAAGTAAGGGTTAGATAAATTGATGTGTAAATAGAACCTGTATCTTCTACTGGAATCATATACTAGGAAACAACAGATTATAAGATGTGTGACAGACATCGAGATATAAGGAACCTGCTTATCTACTGTTTTACAAATGGACTGAGAGTCAGTATCGATCTGAAGAAAATTTAGCAGCAGAATTAAAGTCCAAAGCAGAGATGGTCATGCCTATGTCCTGACTTATTTGCTATTTAAAGGGAGCTTCTGAGTGGTCCCATGACCTCCTAAAATTGTCAAATGTAATTTTAGCCCCACTTTAAGAAAATCACACAGAAGAGGATTTTAGTGCTTAACACTTCTGTACAGCAGAGAAAGAACTCAAGAACAACAGAGAGAGATGGGGAAAGATTCATTTATGTGTGCTGCCTAATTTGCTGTAGCTATTTCCTTCCTCTTTTAATTCTGTCAGTGTGACATCTGTGTCTACCCTGTAAGACTGGGCCCATGTTCACATAAAAAAAAAAAATACCAGTTTACCAAAATATTATTCCATTTCATAGTCTTCTCAGAAAACTTCCTTTCAGCCCTGCACGGGTCACTGTTCCCTCTCTTGTCCTGGGCGAGACCTGCAAATGCAATATGAATTTTAATGAACCTTACGTTTGTTTTGTGCACCCATGCAAGGGTCTCTTTTCAAATTGTTTCCAAACATATTCAAATTGTGCAAGTGGCAAACAGCTGTAAATACAATGGGATACAATTTCATCCCATTCACTTCTAGTCCTCCATCAAGGCAGGTGAAAAATCCCGAAGTGTCCATACAGCTAGGCCATGCAGGTGTGCCCAGCAACATACTAAATTTCCACGCATATATGGACTTAACAGTTCTGTTAAATCTTTTCCTAAAACGATTTTGTCAAATTTGCTCTCTGAACAGCATACAAGTCTGGTTTGCATATGACCAGAAGATTGCTTTCCTGTGTGTTGTAACTGTACAGTGTAGTTTATCAATCTGATAATCATCCTTTTACTTCCCCCCCCCAAAAAAAAAAAAGTGTTGCAAATGTCATTCTGGGTGTAATAGGAAGTAAGTGAATGGCACAAATCTTGTTTATAATATTCTTTGCACATATATTGAACCCACGTGCCTGTGGTGGAAAAACAAGTCCAGTGAGCTGTGGACACAACAGTGATTTTTTCTTCACATAAAATACAGATCACATATCGTACGTAAGGGTGCTGTAAAACTGCCATAGGAATGACAAAATATTATTATTATTATTATTATTTTTCCCCTCTAAACATTGAGCCTGCTATAGACAATAAAGGATGGATAAATTCAGGAACAAGTTAAAAGTATTGTGTAGAAAAAATGTTGACAACTAACTAATAATGAAATAGCTGAAGGTAGATTTCAATTGCTGCTCAACACCTTGTATCCTTTACTGTTCAGAGCTGAAAATAAAGGCAATGGGGAAAAAAAAAAAAACAACAAACACACACACCAGAACTCAAAGATTGTATTTCTAGAAAAAGTTAAAGTCATTCAGCTGCCTTCTCATAGTATGAAATTTAGTGATTTCTTATTTGACTATATATCTTTGTCCAGTAGCTGCCCAAATATATAAAAACCTTAGATACAATCTTAATTCTTTCAAAGGCTACTACACTAATATATAATTTTTGAATAATTCCCACATTTTCAGTTTTAGGAAGAGAAATACCTGTTACAAAGAAAAACTAACTGCAGACATTGCATTTTTCCTCTTCTCTATCCTTTAAGCACTGAATTTGAACATTGTGTAATATCCTACACAGACTGGTGGTTCCATATCACATTGGGTTTAACAAGTTCAGGGCATAGCCTTGGGTGTAAGAGTCAAGCAGAGTCAAAACTTGAAAGCAAAACTTATTTGAAAGCATTATGTTTCGTATAGTTCTTAGTCAAGCAATCAATTTTTTTAAAGAAGTTATTTTCTTGTTTGTATACTTACAGGTCACTCCCAAATTTGTGTGATTTTCAAGTTCACCCAGCAATGATCAATATACAAAATTGCACTCCAGTTTTAACATCCATTGAAATCAACAATGTGATAAGTCATACAATATCAAAATACATTTGAATAAAGTTTGGATTAAAAGAATAGAGGGGATCTTATTGCCTATGCTTATATTCTGTGGGGGAACTATACTGATGTCATTGCTGATAGATGAATGGCTAACACTTTTAAAAAGTATTTTTGATGAGAAAGCCTCCAGTTTTCCCTAACAATCTGTTCCAATGCCTTGTCTCTAACCTGAAACTTGTTGAAACTTTAAGACTATTATTTCTTCTCCATATCTGCAATGGAGAACAGATTATTTCTGATGAATACTTACAGGAATAGGACAGATGGTATCTTTGTGTCTTCTTATTTTGCATGTTATGTGCCTTGCAGGAGAAGGATTAACTCAGATACATATCTGGCAACTGAAGAGACCTACTTCCCAGGGAGCAGCTGAGTCTGGCATGCTCATGGAAACTGTATGCAAGTAGAAGGGAGTGAGAAAGTCACTTGAAGTCTGTAGGAGTCTGAGAGTGGAGAACCTGAGCTGCTGAGAACAGGGAGCAGACAGGAAAGTTTCAGAGATGTTGGAGAGGGAGCACAGGTGGTTAGGCATGATTTGTTGTGATTTACTCACTGGCTGGGCTGGAAGCAAGGATGCAGCAGGCTGTGAGAGACAGCACTGCATATAAATCCTATAAATTTTCATTCTGTCTGTATTTTAAAAGCCAGGAATAAGAGCTGATTTATCCCTGCTTTTTGTTTTGTTTTGTTTTGTTTGTTTGTTTGTTTGTTTTCCTTTAAGAACTGTGCATTCTTAATGTGTTCTGTTCATCAGTACAGGTGGTTATACCTGTATTTTGTACTTCGACTACCTAATCTGCTCTTATTTCTGTATTCCTGTTCATTCCAGGATCCAGGTATATAATGATAACCCAGAAATGAATCAGAGTCAAGGCAGGCACCCTTTTATCAGTGGACCAGCTCTTCTCCAGTAAAATTATCCAGTCAGGTTTGAATATTAGAGTAGTTCTCTCTTTACTCTTTTTCTGTGGTTTCCTTATGTGGATGTCATATGAGATAGCATCTAAAGTCATCATGATGTCTTAAGTTTTCTGTTCTTTTCTGAATTTGAGGCTAATGAATATCACTGACTGTTCAGTGCCAGTGACATCTGGGACACCCAGGTACTTTGGAAGCTCATGCACTCCACCTATAGGCTCTTGGACATTTTCAACTACCAATGGTGTTATTGTTTAGATGTTGGCCTGCCTGTTTCAAAATCTATTTCCAATATACTCCTTTCAGGAAACAGTTTTCCTGGCTAAATTTAATTTCCCTTTTGAAATATTTGGTTATTCCTATTATGTTATCATGTATTCTCCTCCTAGTTATTGTCATTTCACTTGTGTCTAACATGAATTTCTTAGTTCATTCAATCTTTTATCCATCCACCAACACAAAGTCAATTTTTATTAATGTCAGGCAATACAATCTTCCTTTACCTCTGACCATCCTACATGGCATGGACAAATTTTTGTTTCTTCATTGTGTGATATATTTTCTTTGACTGATGTAAGTCAGACTAAGTGTATCCTAGTTTGATTCTTGTCCATACTCAGATGCTTGATTTGGTTACTCACTTTGTCACACAGATGTGAGGATTCTACTGGATATGTAACGTAGCTCTTAAGTAATACATGTACCTCACATTTAGCTTCTTGTTGCATAGCAGCTAAATCATATGTGCATGTATTCCTGTTTTTCAAGCTTTTATGAGTAATATAACACTGTAAACTCCAGAATTGGCCTGTGTAGCACTGCTTTCTCCTTGCTTTGTAGCTTACATGTGACATCTATTAATACTTGCCTATTCAAAAGCCTATTTCCTGGTCAGAAAATGAAAGCAATGCTTTGATAGAATTTGTTCCTGACAAATGTACATTGACTCTCATTTTTCTTGTTCACCCTTTTTACAAGTAGTTTGCTCTAAACATATATATATATATTTATATATAGAGAGAGGAATAAAATCAAACTTCTCCAGATCCTTTTTTTCTGCTATATACAGTTTCTTTCAAACTGTTTAATACAGTAGCTATTTTTCCAAGAGTTCTCAAAGAGTTCTCAAACTAAGAGTTCTTTGATTGCATCAACCAGTATCGTAGGATGAAGTTCATCAGATCACATAGATTTAACTCATCTAAGTACTCTGCAACTTGTCTTTCCTATTCCATGATGAGATCTTCCCTTTTTGTTGCTGGTATTAATTATGCTAGGCACTTCTCCGTAATGGATGTTTTTACTGCAGACTCATGCAAAAAATGTCATTAAAAGCTGCAGCCTTCTTTGTGTTATCTGTGCATAACTTTTCTTCTTGATTAAGAGCAGAACAATTCTTTCTTTGGTCTTCCTCTTTACTTAGAAAGTGATTTCTTGTCATTCTTATGCCTTTTGCTAATTGCATCTCATTTGTGTCTTGACCTTTTAGTTTTTTTTTTTTTTTTAATTATTATTATTATTTTTTTTTTTTTCCATGCATAGGCTTCATTTTTTGTAATCAGTAATCTGTCTTAATTTTCAGTTTCTGAATATTTCTTTCTTTTATTTAAGGCCAATGGAGAACTCATAGTTTAGCCAAGCTGATTTCTTTAACTAACTTAGTTAAACTTAAGTTAACTTAGAAACTAACTTTTCTATATTTTTTTTCCTACTTTCTGCTCAATATTATTTCTTTGAGGAATTGACAGCTTTTCACAAATTTCCTTTTTCCTTAGTCTTGCCTAATAAAAGAACTACTTAGTACTGAATTTCCAAGCTTATTCAAGTTCACTTTTATGAGTACATCAATCTCTGCAGTCTGAGGCAACTCAGGAGGAGTAATGGGTAAGTATATGTGACCTAATAGTATTTACATTATGATGTCTTTCTTTACAATGAAAATATTAGAAATAAAGTTTTTTAAATGTCCTGTATCAGTGAAAACTTGACATTTTTGCAATCCTTTTCTTTTTTATTTAAGTAACTTTTACTGCCACGGTTTGATTTTAGTTCTATGAAACACAGAAACTATTAAATAAACTTTTATTTATTTATTTATTTATTTATTTATTTTTAATGGAGAATGTCACCAACTAGGCCAATTCATACTTTTTTTTTTTTTTTTTTTTTTTTTTCCTCCAAGCTCTTTTTTAGAAGGCATGCGAACAAATAGTCTGGCCCCAGACCACGTGTTCTGATATCAGTTGTGAGAACAGAAGTATGTTATTACCAAAAAATTCTTGCCTTTGGTTCTTTTTAGAATTTATTTTTGAATTACATGTGCTCTACAAAATTCTAGGTACATTTGCAGGCATGGATATCTGAGACAATAATTGCTCAGTTGACTGTTTGTGAACAGCATAGCTATAAATCTGATTATATATGTAATAGAAATACATTGCACATAAATGTCTACATTTGTGATAGTAATTTCTTGAGTCTGCGACGTGTGTTTATATATATCCAACCTTGCTTTTCAAAGGGCTATTCTCAGTTGAGAAAAGAATTTAAGCTTATTCTTGCCCAGGTGGCAAGATAATAATTTATTTTCCCTTTATGTTTGGGTATCTTCTATGATATGAGATCCCCCAAACAAAACAAAACAAAACAAAATTTGCTGGAAGTTATACAACAAAGATCAGAAAACATCTTCATTTCATGTTATATATTCACTTTACTGTGATGGATGCAGCAGTGAATCTGTTGAGAACTTTTCACTATAGATACAAACCAAAAGAAGGCATGCAATCTATTACCTATATTAAAAAGTTCAAGATGAATTAAAATGAAAACTACCACACTTAACATTTTAACCAAATAAGTCAGAACTGTCTTTGGTTCCAGGCAAGGGTTCTTACTGCCTTTTTGAATTGCAAGAGTTTGGCCAGTTGCTTCTGGGATCTTTGTCCATCCCCTATAAAAGCTGGCTGTGGCTGTTCCCACATATATGTCCCCACCATACTCTCTACTTGTGTTTGACTCTCAATGGTCCTATTTCAGAGGTTGCTCCTGTAGATCCTTTGGATCCTTCTCTCCCACACTCAGCTCTTTACCAGGAAAGCAGTCTCTCTTCTAAAGGTCTGTATAACCCATTCACTTTTCTAACAAGATACGATAGGCAAACTGAGATAAACCAGTCTAACAATCTGTCATATTGCTCAAACTCTTTCTATCTCATTAGAAAATATAAAGTCCTTATCGGTACCGTATTTCCTGATTTCTGCTTTATTATAAAGTTGAAATGTCTACATGACATTTCTTGTGAGAGAAGAAAAAATCTAGAATGAAAATATTTTTTTTAGTGGATTCCTTGTATCACAATGCATACAAAGAGATCAGGGCCACTTGGAAAATCCTAGAAACAAGTCAAGTTATTGTATTTGTTTGGTATGCTTATCATCTGTACCTGGAAACAGGCAACTGGGAGAGAACAAGGACAGAGAGGTGTTCAGTAGCACAGGAGCTGCATTTGTGTTTTAAGTTCTGAGTCAATCAAGGAAAAAAGTGGAAGGAAAAGAAACATGTAAGTATGGAGAATGGATAGTATAGCATACGTAGTATACACATCGTATAAGGCTACGTAACTAGTAGTTTATGCATAAAGCACATAGTGCAGCTATCCATAACTCTTGAGAAAACAAGGTATACTTAGCTACTGTTTAGCTTATTAAGTGCTTTAAGTTATTTGTTGTTGTCGTTAGTGAAGACATGTGCAAAAAGGGATTACAGGGTGCTGGAACACTTAAATACCGTCATTTCATCAAGTCATAGAAACTCCAGATGAAATATAAATGAAGGTACAATGTAACCTTTCTCTGGAGCCCAAGGAAAGCATCCCTGTGAGGTATGGGCAGCTATCACCACTGTGTCACTCAGAAAATAGCACAAACAAAAACAGAAGCATTTTGTATGTGAGATTTATAAAATGTTGGCAGAGTCTCTAATTGATACCTTCATCAAGGAAAACAAATGAAAGGACAGTGTGATGCTCACAGTGGGCCCTTCAGTTGGGGAAGAAAAGACATTGTTCCAGCAGGACCGGCTATTTTAGATAGCATTGAACATGGGAAAATGAAGATGAATTGTCAGGGAATTAGACTTAATATTTCCTAAGGCTCTTTTCATATGAGGATCCTCACCATCTATAGCTTTGATCCACCAATCTGTTCCCTTTGTATGAAATTACTTGCTAATGCAGGTGTAGTCTTAAAGAGGCAACAATATCTAAGTGGGAGTGAAGAGGCTGAAAGGGTACAGGTGCTGTAGACTGGGAGAACTAGCATTGTCAGCTGCTATGATTGCACTCAGAAAAACTCATTTATCCATTCTTAATTACATCTAAAATTAGTTTGGTATTTCTGACATACATTTTGCTGTTCTGAAAGTGCAAGTACCTGCATAATATATTCACATTCTCAGTGCTGCAGCAGCTGACTGAAGGAAGCTCTTCCTCATCTGTGTGGCCTCAGGGATTATCTAAAGCAGCAAATCTGAATCACTTTACATTTTGTGTCAGTCAGAATCAATTAACACCTCTTCTACCTCATCACAGAGCACAACTCCACATGACGTGTTGCAATTCTTGTTTTTCAGTTGTGTATGGATAATAAATTAAGAACTGATTGGCTAAAGTAATACAGTGCTCTGCTTTGAAACATAAAAGGAATACTGAATATGTTCATATTAATTAGGGGAATATTTTAAGATAATCTTATAAACAAGCAGGCTCTTATTTGAAGCCTTTTTACTTCAGTAGGTTTGATTATTTTATGCTTAATTAACATGAGATAAGCGACAGTTGAAACCTAAAACTTCTTATGTATAGCAACACTAGAATAAAGAAATAACATTTCTAAATTGAAATTTAAAACTGATATTAGCGCTGAAAAAAGATTATTTCAAACAGCTGAGAACTAGCATGTATCACTGTCAAAAGGGAAATGAATGCTATAGTATATTCCCATGGATTCATTGACAATATATAAACAGAGTTTCAAACTGGAAAAAAAAATCTTTCATATTACTTGCCACTGAAAACTGTTCCTTACCCATGTTCTACTGGCTAATTGAGGAATGGTTCAAAAGAGCAGATAGGATGAATTATCTTTATATAAATATTTTAATATATCTTAATGCTTAGAATTTCATAGGTCTGTGGAAAATAAACAAAACCATAGGCAAAATAAACAAAATACTGTTCTAATTTAATTGCAGTGAGACACTCCGATACAGCGAACACTGAGTCTTTCAGTTTTGATATCCTCTTGTGATCAATAAACAATTATAATCTTTTCTTTCTTTCACTGCTCTATAGGAGTAAAGTGTAACAAAATGTAACATAACAGTGAGTGGTATTGTTCTGTATTTTTTACACTATTTAGCTATTATGATTTTTATCTTTTTTTTTTTTTTTTTTTTTTTTTTGTGGATGATTTTATCATATGTTCTTGGATAAAGACTTTTTCCCCCTAAAAACGTAAATTTTATTTCATTTCTCTAGCTGAGTTTGGAATTCTAGGAGTGTTATATGGTACAAAATATGTATATGTGATATAGTGAAAACAGCTTTGCACTAAGTAGTGCAAAATCAAAACTTATTTATTTTTTAAATAAAAATAGTTAGAGTATGCTAAATAACTTTATCTAATAGCTGTATTATAAAGCCTGTTACACTCTACAAACACTTTATGATCACTCTGAGCTTGTTTTTCAAATAGGTTTTATCTTGTTCCTCACGAATAATTTTATCTTGTTCCTCACGAATAATTCATCAAAAGAGGAAAACTGAGTCAAAAAATGTAATGTCAGGCTGCAACCACAGGCTTTGTTCTTAGGATGGTAATTCATTCTTCCCCCCCCTACCAACAGTGGTCTTCCAGAAGTACGTAAGTACGATTCAGCTAAGAATCTCATGCATTGCGGCTGCACCTAATTATTCTTCTTAATAATAGGGGGGAGGAGGGGAGTGTAGTTGTGTTTCAATTCAAGCCTCTTTTTAGGGTTGAAGAACAATAAAAATTTATTTTACTGATGTTAAAACTACACTATGTTTGAAGAATAATCAAGTTGCATCCTGTTTTTTTATTTATTTATGTATTTATTTATTTATAGCACAATGACATATTGTTTTTTTCTCATTGCTGACACAGTCAGTACACAGCAACAATGACTGCACTTTGGGTCAGGATAACATAATTTGTCACCTTCTCATAATCAAGGTACATATAAAGATTTTGTTCAGTCAATACCTTTGATAGGTCTTTTGGGTCTACCACCCTTGCTTAATGGGACAAACCTAGCTTTACTCTTGGAAGTAAAGCAAAGATTATTAAATGGGAAAAAGCTGAGAAAATAAGTTTTTAGATGCTATTTAAGATTTTGCACTCAAAAAAAAAATATTTCTGTTCAAAAATAAATATTGACATTAGAAATATTTTTGTAGTGACTTGAAGTGATCTTAGGACCCACTTTTCTAGCAGTTGGATTCAAAGCTGTGATAAACTCTTTTTCCTCTTGCTGAGTATTAGTGTATTTTAAATCCCGTTATCTTCACACAAACAAAAATACAATCCAGATGCCATAACCTCACAAAAAAGGGGGGGGATGGGGACTGAAGCAGCTGCATATGATATCCAGTGTTTTATTTCATGCTTTTTCTTGGTGTCTTTCATGCTTTTTCTTCATGTTCATGTTTCTGATGAAATAGACACTTTCCATGAAGTCAGCTTGCCATGAATGAGGCTGGAGAGGGTGTGAAGAGAAACAACTGCAAAAAAATCCTGGATTTTCAGCAAAAACAGTTGATAAAACTTTGGAAATACCCCAACTTTTTTCTAGGAAAGCAATTACTTGGCATGGAAATAAAAGAGAATCAGTCTGAAATGCTGCTATAACAAAATAAGGTCTTGTAGAAGAATTGACATTTAATGTGATGAGTTATAAACAATTAAGGACGAGATCAGAGAATTCTATTTTCCCTAATGAGATTTGTCAGTATTGAAAAAAAAGCTCACAGAAGTGTGTTTATTTTTAAATGTTTTATCTTTGTCTCTCTATTTTTTTTTTGTTGTTTTTTTTTTTTTTTTTTTTGTTGTTGTTGTTTTTTTTTTTCTGGTGAATAATGTTTGCATTAATTTTCAGTCTTTTGTCACCAGAGCATGCTTACATTATCATAAGTATCATTTAAGAATGTAAAAGAAAGGGTTTTGTTCTTTCTGAGTTTGAGGGTTCGCTGATCTAGATACCTAGTTCAGATGGTCTGCAATTACCTTGGAAAATATTCTTCAATTGATACCTCTTTTCCATGTCACTGACATAGCTTTTAAACTGTGTCTGGCATTAAAATCATAGCATAAAGAATAGGACTAACACTTTTTCTAAGAAGTAAGATAATTTACTTTATGCGTTCTTAGTATTTCATGAACTAATAAGCTATCACAAATTATTTGGTATATTTTGGTATGAATTGTATATTTAGAACTAGCAGATAACTCTGAATGTTTAGGAAGGAACTTACCTTTTCACATTTTTGACAGGACTTATTTTAGACACTGGCAACTTCAGGGTTTCATTGCAAATAAGATATTTGAGGTATTTACAACAGAGGAATAATGGGTAACATTCCATTTGAATTGAAATAAAAATGATGCCTGATTATTTGTATCTCCCAGAAATTTCAAAAAAATGAAGGAAAACTCAGGGCCAAAAAAATACTGAAGTTGTCAGTAATAAAAAAATGATTTAATGCAGTAAAGAATGCAATAAATTATGGAAAATAAAAAGGGTGAATATAAACTTTTAATCCTAAAATTATTTCATTTTTAGCTATGTATTTTGTGTATTTTTTTTTCTATATACTATTATGAAGCTCTAAAGAAAAAAATTGATTGTATAGTATGAAGAAATAAGAAGGGGGTATTGATGAAATTTGCTTCCTTAACATACCAAGTATCAACCATTAGTATAATATTATGATAACTAGTTATATTAGCTTGAGGGCCCCATAATATCTGAAGTACAAAGTAGAAGGAAGATATGAAGAATAATGCAAAACTGAAACGAAAAAGGTGTCAGTGCTCTCATTCACCTATGAATTCTGAGTGATTCAACAATGACGCTGACCTTACAGAAAACTTTAAATTAAAAAAAAAAAAAAAGGTGAGAACAAGTACTATAGAAAACCATATATATTTACAATCTCAATTAGCACAAGTTTTTATAATATTGTGTTCTAGATACATTATATAAATTAATACTTTCTTTCCCAATATCAAGAACTTCCATATAACTTTTCTTATAGCAGAAATATGATCATTATATAGTTGTTTGTCATGACATATTGTGAATTTTCTACCTATGAAATCTTCATAGCAAATTTACAGGGAGAAGGAAATCCATTTTAAAATGTAAATATCCACATGAAGAGAAATATATTTTTGAATCTGAGTTGTTGCATTTAAAAATATTGAAGTTCCAGACTTCAAGTTTTACAGCTACTATAGACATTTGGGTCTCTGTTTTCTCACTCATGTCCAAACAAACTTACAAATACCATTTAATGCTGATTGCTGTATTCCCCCAAATAAAGAACCTGATAACTGTCATCTATTATATACCACAACATATAAAATACACGTGTCCCATGAGGAAAAACTATTTTCCAGGTGTATTTATAATATTCCTGTAGTACTGCTGTTTTTATACATCTTCTCAAGTAAACTTTATTGACAATATAATAAAACCACTCTATCTGTGATCCATCTTGCTTAGACTGACATTCTCATCCATTACCAGTAACTTACAGGTATAGTGAGTTAAAACATATTGCTACAGGAAAAGGTCAGCAGTGCTATCTGGCATAACATTGTCTTTGTTTTTCTGAGATTTTTTTTTCACCCTATGCAACTGTGTTTCAGGTTGCTGAGCATGATGTACATACACATTGTAGATTCAGTCTTACTGTCAGTTGCTCGGGTATAATTGACAGCTGAAAAGTACTATAAACAGAATAAGTACTTCATTTTTTAAGTTATGTTTTTAAGATGCAGACATTTAAGTGGGTGCTGTGATAACTCGGATAGATGAGTTTAACTTTTTTTCTTTTCTTCATAAATTCTATTATTATTCTATTCTAAATTCTATAATAATTCTATTATTCTTCATAATTTCTATTTTCCTAAATGTAGGTGTTATAATTTATTATTTGAGCAACAAGTTCAGGGCTGTCAGTTTCATGGCATAACACTCAGTCAATATAGTTTCTCTCTATCATGGTGGCTATGAAGGCTTCATCAGCTGTTTCTTTCAAATGCTTATAACTTTAACATTTTATGCATTTCATGCTAGGTCCTAGATAAAGTTGTTCAGAAATCTAATAAGTTAGCAAACTTTTTTTTTTTTTTTTCTTAGATTTTCATTAGTATACATATTTTAAAGCCTTTTCCCCCTTTAAATTCATACAGACTTTCACATAAAATATATCATAAAAGATAATAAACTTGAAATAGTTTTAGCCTCTGATAGACAAGGCATCTCCTACATATAGAAATATTAAATGTAAAGTAGAGAGGATGGTTGTACAGCACTTTATTGGATGAATGATTACCACTAAATGGGAAAAGAGAAAACCATTTAAATTAAATTGCAGGAAAGAGGGAAAAAACTACTATTTGTGTGGGAATGTCAAAAAGAAAAAAGAAAAAAAAAAGAAAAAATAAGAACAGAAAATATATACAGACTGAGTGAATCAATACAATTTGTGAGGAAGGGAAGAATTGTGAAGGCAAGCAAATTGATGGGAGACTTGTTTCCCTATCTGAGTTAAACCATACAACTCACATTGCCTTGCATTCATGGTCCTCTTCATGATATTTCATGCATACAATTTGGCAAAAGTAAAACAAACGTAGTGACATCTCCATTTTATATTTGGGGACGTAAGTCAGATAAAGGTAAGAAAGCTTAGATTTCAGAATTTTGCTCAAATCTGAGAAATGTCTTCAAAGTCTTTTTCTCATCCCATAAGAATTTAACTTCCTGAGCTTTTATCAGGCATTTCCTGAATGCCTAAATAGGCACCTTCACCACTGAAAGTGCAAGATCTTGCCAGAGTGAATCAGTGCACTTTCTTTTGTATTAAACATGCTGGTGCAATTAGCAACCAAAGAATATCAGAGAAAGAGTGGAGAGCAGCTTATAGCTAGATGTTAACCAAGATGCTGTTCAGTGAGAGGGAAGATGCAGCTATGAATCCTCACAGTTTGAGAGGAATGTACATAGGTGTTTTCTGTATTTAGGGAGAATGTATTAACAAGCTTTTTCTAAATTTAAAGGAAGTATAGGGGATATTAGTACCTAATTTTGGGACCAGAATTTGAAATATGAATCTTAAGTGGAGTTAATGAGCTGATTCTGGAGATGTTTTTTCTTCTATGCTGTTTCTTATTTTAATGGCACTATATTCTGGAACTATTGAATACATTTGAGTTATCTAATTCTTTCCAGGCACTACATAGATTTTTGGATACTGTTCAGAGCACTGACTAGTCTCTGAGTGGAAAACCTTACAGTTGGTTCCTGATACATTTGGAATTTCAACACATGTATGTGCTTTGGCCCTATTTCTACATCTTCTATTAGGAAAAGCAAGCAAGCAAACAAACAAAAAACACTAGTTTTTGCTTTTGAATTTCTAGAAATGGATTTTATGGATTTTTTCTAGCTATTATGTCACTTATACATAAGGAAATATCATTACGAACTGGTCCAAGAAAGTCTGACTCCCAGATGTATATTTCTCTTTAGAATTTAAATGCTTTTTCTTTTTTCATTTGTTTTGCTTTGTTTGTTTGTTTGTTTTCCTGCAGTTGTATCTACAAGCAATTTATATTTTGTGAAGTTTAAGCTTCACAAAAGCTTAATCAAGACTTTGTTCCAAAGGTGCTACTAACAGATGCAGCTGATTCTATCTTAACTTAGCTAGACTCCAGCTGACTCCTTCTGTCATTTCTAATGTTTCACTGAAGTACCGTGCAAGATGAAGGAAAAAGCAATATCTGTGGCAGTCAGTAGCCAGAAAACAGATGTCAGGTGAAACCTCTTCACTGTGTTCACAGAAATTTCTAGCTGTGAAATGTATCTTCTGAGTAGCTTCTTCCAATTCATGGTTACAGAACCCGCTCAAGGTTAAAAGGTACATATCTATAAGCCATAGTTTGTTCTTGGCTTTGGCTCTGTGCAAGAGAAAATACCAGATGCTACAGCCTTATGACGCTACACATGAAAAACTAGCATGGCAAGATAAGCGATAGTAAAAGGTGATTCAAATAGTTCCATCCAGAAGACAAGTACCTTCATATCACTACAACATCTGTTCCTTAGGTCAGCATTCAGTCTCATGTTTATGTTTTGACAGTGAACGAACACATTCTTACATGTGAGAGATTTATTTTTTAGAAACAGCTTTTGTAAAACTCTTCTAAACTCATAAAGAAACTTTGTATTTACCAAATGTAGGTTTCACACTTGAGGCGCTATTGTTATTAATTCCTGCCTGCTACAAAATTAAAGGTGTCTCATAGCTAGTATTGCATAGCAAATCAAGAAACTAGAGTTCCAAGTTGTCATTTTATTTTAACGTGCCCTTGTATGTCAAGGTGTATCCTATTTTTGTTGTTGTTCTTGTTAATGTAAAAAATCTTTTGTAATCGTAAATGAACAAAGAATGTTTAACAACCCTTCACTGTACTGATAAATACTTTCCTTTATGTTGGTATCTGTCAGATCCATATAAGGATTTCATATTTCAACATCAGACAGACTAGGAATGGTAGCCTGCTTGCATCCTAACATGAATATAATATTTGGCAACATGTTTGAATGTTTTGAAGCACTGTAAATCTCTCTCTTTTTTTGTTATATGTTAAAATCTCACTTATTACTAACTTTTATTACTTTCATTTTCTTATGTTTGGAATCAATCAAAATGATTGATCAAAATTAATCATTCAGTGAAAAGGGTGGAAGAGATTTGTAGTAATGAAGATGCTTCTTGTTTGTAGTTTTTAGTTCTCTTCACTTGTATTTAATTAGTTTTTTTAATATATCTGGATGTTATTTTGCTACACATGTACACTATAGTCAGGTGCTGCATCACTGATTCTTTTATCAAATGAATTTTTATGTGTAATGAACAGATTTGCAATAAAAATTTGTAACAAAAATGTAAAACTTGCTCTGAATGGAAACTGAAAGGAAATTTCTGGGTGTAGGAGCAGGAGAAGGGAGGGAAGAAGGTTTAATACTGGCAGGTGGAGACAACACCTGGAGAAACAGGTCATCAAGATCACAGTGGGTTGGCACATAACATTGGAACACTCATGGGACTCACAGGACAGCCTCCAACTGGTGAAAGTAAACGACAGACTTCAATGACAAGCTAACCTAAGATAATGGTGGAAAAGGAAAGGATGCATTTGGAGCATTGACAATTCCCTCCATCCTTAAGAAGAAAAAAAGAGAACTTCAAATACTCTGTAAGGTAGGACAGAAGATCATGATTACTGTCAGTACTTCAGGGGTTCAGAAGGCATATCCAAATGCAGCATGACAAACAACCTAAGAAGAAACTAGAAAATACAAGCTGGACTAGGGTGGCCACCATCTGTGCCATCACAGGGAATCCCAGCAGGAGCTTTTGGAGATGGATGTCCTGATGCTTGTGAGCCTGGGCGGATGCATGTGAGGGGAATTAAAGAGTTTTAAGATCCAGTTTAAGATCCA